TTTGGAATCATGGTGATACTGTCAATAATTCAAAACGGGTCTGTGCTTTAATCTCGCACTGGAAAAAATGTACTTTACGTTTAAAATTTGAAAATTCAAATCTAAAAGTTTTCGCGCTTTTTTCGAAGAATGCCGTGGTTGGAGCTTCCTAGTCATACTACTCGACATCAGCTGATAGCAAACAAAGGTTACCAAGGAAACCGTAAACGCGTAACAACTACCTACCGTCGCCAGAGCCGCTTTCCGACGCGAATGCGTTGGAGCTTCCTGCTTGTTTTTTTATTAATTTGTTAGTTATTTTTCTAAAACATTCGAAAAATTCCTAAGAAAAATGTGCAGGAATGTCATCAAAAGTACATGTTTTATCCAGGGAAATTTGGCGACTCCCGAATGTTCATACGGCGTTTTTCCTTATCAAGCAGTATGATAAATAGTAGTATAGTTAGTAGTCACAAATGATACATCAGCGGTGCGTGATCAAAAATCCCGAGTCTCAGTTTCCAATGCTGCCGTGCTAAGAAAGAACGCCGTACGAACTTTGAGGCGTTGCCAAATTTCCATTGAGGAAACACGAATTTCCTGGTAAACTTATGAATATTTTCTTTCCAATTTTTCAGATACTTTTGCTCGCAATTTAACTTAAAGTTCCTGAACATTTCTCGTAAAAATATTCATAACTTCCCTCAAAAATGAACATTCTATCGAAGGAAATTTGGCAACTCTCGAAGGTTCAAACGGCGTTTTTCCTCAGCACGGCAGAATGCTAAACATTTTTTTTGATACCCTCAGGAATTTTAGGCGATTTAAAGTCAAAATGCGTGATTTCATGAGCGCTTTAAGATGAATCGACTCCAGGGCTGCCAAAGAAGAAGAAAGCGAGTTCGCCTTGGTCCTCGTGAAACAGAACGTCTCGAAAATGACGCCTTCAAATTTCGAGCGAGAGACTCGACTCCAGAGTCAATAACGGAAGACAACACTGAAAAAAAAATCTTGGTGTATTTACTAAGAAATGGGTAAAATTACCAAGAATTCAGGGTTCTATTTGATCGCAGTTTTTTCTTGCTAAAATTACCATTTATGGAATTGGTAATGGCTCCAGAATGCGTGAGATATCACGCCGCATTTGAAGGCGTTTTCAAAACAGTCAATTTCCGATACCCGGATTATCGTTTTGCATAGTTCATATTATTTTGTTATATTCCGTACCACTTGTTTATTCTTAATCCTCGTATAAAAACCACCCATTTGCTAAATACAATTCTACCTGAAACGCACTTTAGCTATGCGTTGATGACTGCAAAAATGTGAACGGAAATCGAAAATTCCAGCGTGCATGAAGGCTATTTCCATTTTAATCTTCCGTCACATTCTTACGGCGCAATGATACAACTATTTGAACTCTCCGGAATGCGTGAGGTATCTCGCCGCATTCGAAGGCGTTTTCAAAACAGCGATGTTCCGATACCCGGATTATCGTTTCGCATAGTTTATATTATTTTGTTTTATTCCGTACCACTTGTTTATTTTTAATCCTCCCATAAAAACCACCCATTTGCTAATTTCACCTAAAGTTCCTGAAAATTTCTCGTAAAAATATCCATAACATTCCTCAAAAATGAACATTTTATCGAAGGAAATTTGGCAACTCTCGAAGGTTCATACGGTGTTCTTCCCTAGCACGGCAGAATGCTAAACATTTTTTTAATACCCTAAGGAATTTTAGGCGATTTAAAGTCATAACGAGTGATTTCATGAGCGTTTTAAGATGAATCGACTCCAGGGCTGCCAAAGAAGAAGACAGCGAGTTCGCCTTGCTCCTCGTGAAACAGAACGTCTCGAAAATGACGCTTTCAAATTTCGAGCCAGAGACTCGACTCCAGAGTCAATAACGGAAGACAAAACTTATTAGTTAAGAACTTGCGTTAGGCGGCAGTTACATCATCAACCCGGTTCATTAATAATGCTGCCAAGGATCCTCCCCTCACTCCACGGGCTCCGCTGACGCAAAAACCTAACCGCGCTCCCAGGTGAGCCCTGCCGTTCGTATGCCTTCGTGCTTTCCGAGGCTCACGGCGGAGGTGGGTTGTGCCCTTTCGGTGGCGCAGCGAGAATTTGACGAGGGTCTCGGCGCAGGTGAAACTTTGTTTTTCGGAACTGTCCCTCCACGGAGCCGCACAACGAGTTTTTAGGCTGATACCAGACTCGAGTGAGAAAATGAGACTGGATATTATTTTCCTCTAGCTGCACTCGAGCGATAAATTAAAGGGGCAAGATTTTAAAGTGTGCTTTAAAGTACGTTTAAGTAACGTGAAAAAAGACTTTTTAAAAACCTGAATAGATACTGGAATCAATATGATCGTTGATTTTAGGACCCGCTCTTGCTTCCGGCTCAAGATTTACAAGTTTTCTTGGAACCGGTCCCGTTTCTGCCAGTGGCGTGGCGTGAATTGCGATGTATCGATTGTAATTTCATTTAAACCTATGGTAAAGAATCGATTATCAAGGTGTTCGCTGCGAACACCCTGTTTATCGATCTTTCTACGTAGGTTTAAATGACATAACAATCGATTATCGCAATATACGGCACGCCACTGGTTTCTGCTCGTAGGATCGTATTCGTAAGTTGATTACAGAGTTGGACGTATTTAAATCCAAAGGAACTACATTCATTCTGACATGAGCCGCGAGGTCCACGAGAATACATGCATGGTGGGGCTCGTGTTACAGTTATTTTTGATTTAAAAACGTCCAGTCAGGACAGGTTCGAGTTCGGCTATGAAAAGCATCGGCGGATCCAACGAATTGGCAACATTGTTTCTTCTCCATTCAAACCCATGGAATTATATCGATTCTCGGAGGGGCCAGGTGCTCCGACAAGAATCGATTATTAAGCATAGGTTTAAATGGAGAAAATTCGGTGTTGCCAAATTGCTTGGTCCGCCTCTGATGAAAAGGGTTCGTAAGCGATTCCGTGTCACATAAAGGACCGGTTCCACTTATGGTTTCCAGACCTTAAACTTTGAATTTCGCTCCAGTTTTGGTTGTAATCCAAATGGATGGTTGTAATGGATCGATGAGAAAGGGTTTGCCGATTTATAATTCTGCTGAACACTGACGCAAATTTTGGTGAATTGCAGTTCAAATTACATTGCGTATTCCTGACCGCTAAGCTCTCCTTTCTTTGATACGGTGGCGCAAAATTACCTCGGACCAAATGCGGTTACGTGGGCTCCGTGAAATAAGGAAGATTTCAAATTTCATGCTTGCAGAGGCTCCAAGAGGTAATCTTTGACCTTAAACCTAAATTGGATTTGTTGACGGGCGCGAGACGCCTCTAGCCCTTTCGTTTGACCGCCATTGTCAAACTGTGAGGGATTTGCGTATATTTATTGGTCTAGGAATTCGTGGAATTGCTCAATATAATAGT